TTCTTCTATTGGCTAAGTAAGTCATAACAAACCCCCCACCCACTTATATCAAACGGCGCCAGGGTACACATGGGGAGAGATGCAGTATTAGGGAAGTGGGAGCGGCGGGTTATTAGCAGGAAAGTGGAATAAAGACTCACACCCCAGAACCCAAACCATGCAACCCGGAAACCTCAAATCCCTTCGCAATTGGGGACCACAAAGAGGGACCCTTAATCCCATTACCNNTATATGACCCTTATATAGTCATTATATAGCCCCTATATTCCCAAGAAGTCCCCATATGAATCCCCATAAGCTACAAAGGTCCCTATTTGGGGTCCCTCCAAATTTTTCAAAAGTCCTTAGAACCTCTCCCTTGACGAAATCTAAACCCTAAATCCTAAGCCCTAAACCCTAAATCTTAAGCCCTAAATCCTAAACCCTAAACCCTAAATCTTAAGCCCTAAATCCTAAACCCCAAGCCTGGGTAGCGTCGACACTCCAGCCGGCCCAAAGCCCTTCCGAGCAGCTTGCGTGCTGTCAAAGGCTTCTTGGGGTTTAGGGTTTGGGGATTAGGGATGTAGGGATTAGGGTTTATGGATGAGGGTTTAGGGGTTAGGCATTCGGGTTTAGGGATTAGGGATTAGGATTTTGGACTTTGGGCTTAGGATCCAAGGTTTCGGGATTGGGGTTTAGGGATTGGGTCTCGGGTTTACGGTTTAGCGATTAGGGATTAGGGTTTAGGGATTAGAGTTTAGAGTTTAGGGATAAGGGACAAGGGTTTCGGGATTTCGGTTTAAGGTTTAGGGATTAGGGTCTAGCGTTTAGGGATGAGGATTGAGGATTTCGCACTTAGGGTTGGGATTGAGGATTTAGTGTTTTGGCTTTAAGGTTTAAAGTGAAGGATTGGAATTTTGGCTTCTGGTTTTTTCTGGCTTTAGTTGTAGGGCTGTTTCAGACCCTGCCTAAACCTTTGAGTCAAGGAAAACAAGTTGGAACATGGAACTTGGATTGTTTGTCATACTGGAAGGACGTATCTAATTTGAACTAGCTTCTCATTACTTTCAAATCCTGCTTCAGCAAATGAGTCTACCGTATGTTCTTCTTCCAACGTTCTTGGGCTCGACCCTAGCCCTGCTGGTTCTTGAGAGGGGAGTGGATCACTGGATTCTTCCCAGCATTGTTCCCAGATGTGCCCTACTACACCACCTATACTCACATCCCCACCCCCGCCTTCAGCACAAGTTAGTCAACCTACCGGCCTCGTTCACTGGTAACCGGAGGTTCTTGAGGCCTGTAGCATTCATCGTCACCTCCGCGCTAAGCGATGACACTAGCAGTCTGAAAAAATGAACTCGTTTCACTGGCACTTATGACCCAATCACAGACATATCGGGGAACTAGACGGCTCATAATGGGATCGATGGACTGTTATACTTGAAGCACTATGTATGCTCCATGTATCCAGGTAGATGGCGAAGGTATGGGCTTTACGGTATTTGGAACAGGCAAGCATGAAGATTCAGAAGGGTTTCTTGGGCTTTGAATGGCTGGGTCTGCATCCAAGCCCGTGCCCGCACATGCGTTCCTTGGCTACTGCGAAGCTTGGAGAAGAATGGCAGAACAGATTTGGTAATTTCCCAAAATAAGGGAACCCCAATATAGACCCCAAAATACTATGATCCTTACTATGGGGAACCCTAAAATGGTACCCCTAATTCTTGGAAACCCTCATTGTCTGCGGCCTGCAAGGATATTGCCCCGGACGCTGAACAGAAAAGCCCTAGCAACAAGAAAACCAGCCTTGACGTGTAAACGCAGATGGGGGTTCCCAATAACTGGGGTTAGTTACATTATTGGGAAACTCCCTAATGAGGATCATAAATTATTAACATTTTGGGGGGTCTGCAAGAAGGCCCTTGGTTTTTATGAAACTACCAAGTCAGCTGAGAGGGGGCCATAGACGAACTCTGAAACGACATGCCGGCGGGAGGTGCCCTAAACCCTAAACCCCCAAACCATCTTCAGAAAGAGAATGAGACCGTAGACCCCAAACTCTCCAGAAGCGCAGCTCTTAATCAAAGGCCCTGCCGGAAAGTGACAAGATTTTGCTGCAAATCACATCATCTACAGCTCGAGGCTCGAATCAAAAGTTTGGTCGCGTTGGCCAGTATGCCTTGAAAAGTCTAAATCTTGACTGCAAACCCCAAAAACATGATTCATCCCTTCTGTGGGAATCCCTTACATGGTTTATTCGTCGGAAAATAAAGCCCGATGGATCTTACAACCTACCGAGGCCCTGTCGTGGCCACTCCTTTCCACCCTAAACCCTAAACCCTAAAAAAGAGGCGGTTTAGGGTTTAGAAAAACCCCAAACCCTAAACCCATGTTTAGGGTCTCTTTCAGATTCCCCAACCAAAGCTCCTGAAGAACCGAATCAAATCAATCCCTCCCTTGGGCCAAGCCCCCGCCCAGGAATGGGTACCACAGAGGACTACTGTAGGTATATTGAGGGTCTATGAACTCCATATTAATATTAAGGAGCTATTTCTATAGAGGGGATTGACCTCATCTTTCCTTTTGGTATCGAACCCCCAACCCCCCTAATAATGAATACACTCAGTGTAGAGCTACTATTTGCTAGGAGTCCCGTTTATTACGGTATAAGGGGGGGTGGGGGGGGTCATAACCAAGGGAGGGGATTTTGAAAAAAGCGTGGTGAAGGTTTAGGGTTTAGGAGTATTGAAATTGGGCCAGGTGAAGACGAGGCCCGTACCGGTCGTTCGGGGACGCCTCAGCCCGTGCTTGGTATGCGCGCATCTCGCAAGTCATTTATGGTGCGCTCCTTTTCGTGGGATCTCCAGAAATTGCTAGAACAAGGATTGTGGTATACGGGCATACATAATTTCAAAGCCCGATGCTGGAGATTCTGGCAATGAAAAAGTTGATACAGATCCTAGTAGCCCGCCCCCGCACATGAGCTCACTATCCAGGATTCAGGGCTTGAATAGCATGGGAATATTGTCTTAATCCCAAAGATATATGTGCGGCCCCGCAAAGAAGAGAACATTGATCTCTTCTACAGCTACACCTCAGACAAGTAAGGAGCCCGTCTCTGTAAAGTGATTTTTTCACAGTGACCCAGTGACCTTTGTAGAATCCGCAAAGAGGATCCATAATCCAATTGCAATCTTGCATGTTTCTGGGGTTTCCCCGCCCCCCAACCCCCTCCTAAACCCTAAACCCTAAACCCCCTAAACCCTATACCCTAAACCCTAAAGCCTATACCCTAAACCCTAAGAAACTCCCAAAAACTCCCAAATCCTCAACCTCTCTATGGCGGATTGGCATGCGAAGTCTGAATAGCAATTTAGGGCTTAGGGCTAGGGTTTGGGGCCTAGGGTTTAGCATTTAGGGTCTAGGGTTTAGGGTTTTAGGTTTCGGGCTTGGGGTTTAGGGCTTAGGGTTTTGGGTTTAGGGGTTCGGGCTTAGAGCTTAGGGTTCGTTTCCATGGCAGGTGGGTAGGGTGCAGGGCTGAAGGGAGTACTGGCCTGTAGGGTCCGCGGCGAGGGTTTAGGGCTTAAGGTTTGGCTCCTCTTGTCTTGGCCTCCGATGTTAAGATTGAGGGAAGAGCCTTGCCATACTAAACCCAAGGTTTAGGGTTCCCTAGACCTTGAACCTTGCTGCGTGATCAGTGTCGGCCGCTTCAACCCCTGCCCTAAACCCTTACCCCTGGGTCCTCAATTTTCTTGAGGTTCTGGGCTCTAAACTAAACCCTGACCCCTAAACCCCAAACCAGAGAATCCTCTCTAAGCCCTAAAAGCCTAAACCCTTCACTTAGCTGCGTAAATTCTGAAGTCTGAAACCTCCCCACAACCCATCGCAAATCCTTTGAGACGTGCACGCGCCAAGCCACGAAAAGCTGGACTCACCCCAAATCCTAGGTTTTAGGGCTTAGAACCCTAAACCCTAAACCCAAATCCTACGGTTTAGCGCTTAGGGAACCCTAAAACCTCCAGTCCCGAGTTGAGGCTAAGGCGATCGTATCCAGCCTCGCCACGGCTGACAACATGACTCTGGTTGATGGGCGGCCCAAAGATATAAGGTTTAGGGTTTAGGTCACAAAGATGTAGGGTTTAGGGTTTAAGGTGCAAGATTTAAGGTTTTGGGTTAAATTCAGGGCTTCACTGGGATAGGCTTAGGGGCCCTTATGAAATCTAATTCTTACGGATTCTCAGGTCACATAGCAGTTTCCCTAAATAGGGGGACCCACTGAGGGTTAAACCCTAAACCCTGCAGAATTTGCGTGGCCCAGACTTCTGGGGCTTTCACCATCTTGAATCTCCGAGCCTGCGGATTTGGTCTTGGTCCAAGGTCCCCAAAATTTAGACTCCTAAGGAACTATACACTCACCAAAACCCTGACAAACTTCCCTTCTACTTTATTTCTCCTCCTCCTTCGTCCCCTTTTACTTTCATCTACGTGTTCTAAACCCTACACCCTAGACCCTAAACCCTAAACTACCACCACTACCCCTGGCATTCCTCTTCGTGCTCACAGAATTCTCGTAGCTGCCACCTCGAAGCACCACGGCCCAAGGGTTTCAGGCTTGTACCCCTAGGGTGGTACCCCTGAATTTTGGGATCCTTTAAAGGGACCCTATGGGATCCTTTAAAGGGACCTTAAGAGGACTACCTTGGCTGATATAAGGGCTATATTAGGGCCATATGACCTATAATCTAAACTCCTAGTATCCCCCTGAATAAGCCCTATAGTAGTCCCCTATATAAACCCCCATCTAACCCCCCTTTAAGGAGTTTAGCCTAAACCCTAAACCCTAAGCCTACATCCTAAACCCTAAACCCTAAACCCCTAAACCGTAAATCCTAAACCCCTAAACCCCAAATCCTGAACTAGAATGCCTACATCCTTCAAACAGAATCATTTCAGGAAACCAGGGCAGCTTA